TGAATAGAAGGGAGTTAGAGAGAGAGCGAGCAGTATGAGCAGAGCAGATGGAATGGAAATTGTGGGAGTAAACATAGGGGTGATGAGGGGAAATGGTGAATGGATAGATAGTGAGGAAGATAAATATAAGCTGGTACTCATAAGAAGGAGATTTGGGAAGAGAATGGAGGAATGAGGATGATTGGGAGGAATATTGGATACAAATGAAAACATTGGCTATTAAGGAGACACGGGGTAAGGTGGAGAATGGACAGTGGGATTCATAAATGACTATGTGGAGGGGTGCAAATTGATTGAGGTAGAAAAGGGAAAACTGGTGTATAACTTTGTGGAGTGAATGGAAGTGGGTTTCCAAATATAATGTATGTGAAAAATGCGGCCTGATGTCAGGATGAAGACAAGAGAAATGTGAAGGACAATGAAAAACTGTGTGAGAGAAGTATGAGGACAAATATAACATGAAAATAGATGTAAAATTGTATTTTTGTTACAATAAAAAAGATAAAAAAAAAAAAAAAGCGCGCCCGATCTCGTCCGATCTCGGAAGCTAAGCAGGGTCGGGCCGGGTCAGTACTTGGATGGGAGACCGCCTGGGAATACCCGGTGCTGTAAGCTTTTTGTTGTTAAATACAGGCACACCAATGGTGATAAGATACCATTTGTAACCGAAAATAGCATGCTAAACGTGGGTAGATTAGTTTCAAAGGGCGTGGGGACTGTTTTAATTCAGTTTACAATTAAAATGGGTCAAATGGATCCCGAAATAGTGCCTCATAATGCAGGTAGAGTCCCCTGATAACTACCCTTGCATTCCTCCACAGGCTAAATAAGTACAAGTTAACTGTTGGAAGAACCAGATAAAGGGATTAAAATGGTGAAAATGGATCCCGAAATAGTGCCTCATAATGCAGGTAGAGTCCCCTGATAACTACCCTTGCATTCCTCCACAGGCTAAATAAGTACAAGTTAACTTTTGGAAGAACCAGATAAAGGGATTAAAATGGTGAAAATGGATCCCGAAATAGTGCCTCATAATGCAGGTAGAGTCCCCTGATAACTACCCTTGCATTCCTCCACAGGCTAAATAAGTACAAGTTAACTGTTGGAAGAACCAGAGAAAGGGATTAAAATGGTGAAAATGGATCCCGAAATAGTGCCTCATAATGCAGGTAGAGTCCCCTGATAACTACCCTTGCATTCCTCCACAGGCTAAATAAGTACAAGTTAACTTTTGGAAGAACCAGATAAAGGGATTAAAATGGTGAAAATGGATCCCGAAATAGTGCCTCATAATGCAGGTAGAGTCCCCTGATAACTACCCTTGCATTCCTCCACAGGCTAAATAAGTACAAGTTAACTTTTGGAAGAACCAGATAAAGGGATTAAAATGGTGAAAATGGATCCCGAAATAGTGCCTCATAATGCAGGTAGAGTCCCCTGATAACTACCCTTGCATTCCTCCACAGGCTAAATAAGTACAAGTTAACTGTTGGAAGAACCAGATAAAGGGATTAAAATGGTGAAAATGGATCCCGAAATAGTGCCTCATAATGCAGGTAGAGTCCCCTGATAACTACCCTTGCATTCCTCCACAGGCTAAATAAGTACAAGTTAACTGTTGGAAGAACCAGATAAAGGGATTAAAATGGTGAAAATGGATCCCGAAATAGTGCCTCATAATGCAGGTAGAGTCCCCTGATAACTACCCTTGCATTCCTCCACAGGCTAAATAAGTATAAGTTAACTGTTGGAAGAACCAAAGAAAGGGGTTAAAATGGTGAAAATGGATCCCGAAATAGTGCCTCATAATAAGATTTGACATGGGCAAACAGGCTATCTCAGACTTCCATGACATACACCGGGAAAACCACCTCACTTTGGCCCCTCACAGAGACCCAAAACACGGACTACAGACCTCCAGCATATATACCTGACATAAGTACTTCCATAACCTCGCGCACCTTGGGACCCCGGGCCCCCGAACTTAAGCACTCCCCCACGGACTAAACCCAGATGATTTCACCCTCAAGAAACTCGTGCCCCTGGTAACCTATAAGGGGGTCTATTTTGCGGTGCTTTACAGTCCGCCCATCAGACTCCATAGTCGGACTTATTCACAGCACCACCCACCCTCCTGTGGAGGATGTTCTCATGGCCCTGGTAATCTATAAGGGGGTCTATTTTGCGGTGCTTTACAGTCCGCACATCAGACTCCATAGTCGGACTTATTCACAGCAGCAGCACCCACCCTCCTATGGAGGATGTTCTCATAGCCCTGGTAATCTATAAGGGGGTCTATTTGCGGTGCTTTACAGTCCGCCCATCAGACTCCATAGTCGGACTTATTCACAGCACCACCCACCCTCCTGTGGAGGATGTTCTCATGGCCCTGGTAATCTATAAGGGGGTCTATTTTGCGGTGCTTTACAGTCCGCACATCAGACTCCATAGTCGGACTTATTCACAGCAGCAGCACCCACCCTCCTATGGAGGATGTTCTCATAGCCCTGGTAATCTATAAGGGGGTCTATTTTGCGGTGCTTTACAGTCCGCACATCAGACTCCATAGTCGGACTTATTCACAGCACCACCCACCCTCCTGTGGAGGATGTTCTCATGGCCCTGGTAATCTATAAGGGGGTCTATTTTGCGGTGCTTTACAGTCCGCACATCAGACTCCATAGTCGGACTTATTCACAGCAGCAGCACCCACCCTCCTATGGAGGATGTTCTCATAGCTGGTAATCTATAAGGGGGTCTATTTTGCGGTGCTTTACAGTCCGCCCATCAGACTCCATAGTCGGACTTATTCACAGCACCACCCACCCTCCTGTGGAGGATGTTCTCATGGCCCTGGTAATCTATAAGGGGGTCTATTTTGCGGTGCTTTACAGTCCGCACATCAGACTCCATAGTCGGACTTATTCACAGCAGCAGCACCCACCCTCCTATGGAGGATGTTCTCATAGCCCTGGTAATCTATAAGGGGGTCTATTTTGCGGTGCTTTACAGTCCGCACATCAGACTCCATAGTCGGACTTATTCACAGCAGCAGCACCCACCCTCCTGTGGAGGATGTTCTCATGGCCCTGGTAATCTATAAGGGGGTCTATTTTGCGGTGCTTTACAGTCCGCACATCAGACTCCATAGTCGGACTTATCACAGCAGCAGCACCCACCCTCCTATGGAGGATGTTCTCATAGCCCTGGTAATCTATAAGGGGGTCTATTTTGCGGTGCTTTACAGTCCGCACATCAGACTCCATAGTCGGACTTATTCACAGTACCACCCACCCTCCTGTGGAGGATGTTCTCATGGCCCTGGTAATCTATAAGGGGGTCTATTTTGCGGTGCTTTACAGTCCGCACATCAGACTCCATAGTCGGACTTATTCACAGCAGCACCACCCACCCTCCTGTGGAGGATGTTCTCATGGCACTGGTAATCTATAAGGGGGTCTATTTTGCGGTGCTTTACAGTCCGACCATCAGACTCCATAGTCGGACTTATTCACAGCAGCAGCACCACCCACCCTCCTGTGGAGGATGTTCTCATGGCCCTGGTAATACTTAAAGGTGGTGTATTTTGCGGTGCTTTACCGTCCGCACATCGGCATCCATAGTCGGACTTATTCACAGCAGCACCACCTGCCCTGCTGGAGGTTCACACTTTAACTTGTTTTACCCTCGTCTGCCTTACACATCCTCCCACACTTGAGCCATCCTCACTCGGACTAAACTCACCCACCAGAACCACATGCCCCTGGGGACCTTGAAGGAGTTTCACAATTATGTTTTGTGGTAAAATGACTTTATTTAAACACATAAATACAACATAGAACATAGAAACATTAACATACAGGTATTTGCACACGTGAATGTCTAAACTCTGTACATTTTGGTCCACTTCCATTCTCCTCGACTGTTGACTATTCCTTTAATCCCGATTTAATTCCTCGTCTGTGGAAGACGACAATTCTGTGGTGTCATTGTATATAACGGTGCTAAGGGCCTCATCAGAGCTGCTTGTGTCCCCTGAGCAAATGTCTATTTCTGAGGATGATTCTTCAGCTTCAGCTCCTGCTTGAACCGCTGCTTCTGCTCCAGATTTAGCTGCTGCAACCAATGAGTCAGTAAACATGTTGCGTATCTCCGCAGCCTCCTTTATGTCCGGCATGAATGCATAAAACCTGTCAGCAGTATGCGTATTGTGGCACATAAAGTCGGATAGCTTTTTACGGTTCACCGGTTCATGGAACTTCTTGGCCTGAAAAAAAAATTAGTGGATGTAACTTGTGTCATGCGGGATGCAACCAGACAATATGTTATATTCTACTTACATTGTCAGCGAGGGCAGTGCGGAGCTCTGTGAACGTGATGGTACCTTGAAGCCCAACATCTTTCCATGCCATTCTCAAGTCGCGGCTTAAATTTTGTGAGGGTCCTCTCCCCTCTGTGAACAGGAAGAATTGGCTATGCCTACAGGGTAAGGTTTGTTTTATCTCCATCCACCTCTTCATCCAATCGAACTCCTGTTTTGACAGGTGCAATTGCGCTTCCCCAAACGCATTGGCCGTCTTGTGTTCTTTGACGTGAATTAAATAGCCATATTCATTCCCCCGTTTTCCCGCATCTATGAATTCAGCATTAGTGAGGTTGGCGTACACACCCGGGCGATGACCGTAGAGGCAGCTCCAATTGAGAGTGATGTACCCATAAAGCAAGTAACGTGTTGCGTTGGTTGGATTGATTGCCATCTGTTCAAGAAGTTCTGGAATGCGCCTCTTAGCAGCAGTCATGCAGGACAAAAGGTCTGCCTGGCATGGCAGATTGTCTATTTTGTTCCGCTTCACAGCCATTTGGTGTACCACTACCTTTCGCTTCAGGGACCGCAGGCCGGACTTCACCTCTTGCGTGATATAGCGCAAATCTTTTCGATTTATCCGGGTCCACGGACATGGTGCGTCACACATGTAATTCACAAAATGTGCCACATTTTTCAGGTAAAAGGCAGCCGTTGTGACTTTCTTCCCAGAATCCATTAAGCTTTGGGGCCAGGAACGGATCCTTTTCACATCTCTAAGGAACAGCCAATTGCACATGAGTGTACGATCGTGTATCATATACAGGATGAATGTTTTGATACGGCTGACCCTTGAAATTGTATTTTCTCTCTGCTTTGGCGTAGGGTCGATTCCATTGAGATGTTCCCCGTAAGCTTTGATGTACTCCTCCATGAGTCCAGGTAGCTTGATCTTCCGCATTGTATTCCCGCGTCCCTTTCCAGAGGACCCGGGGGAGAAATGGGGAGGGACCGATTGTTCAGCCGTGGTCGTGCTGCAGGAAGCTACAGCCACTGATTCATCTTCAATAAACTCAGTGTGTGTCTCGGCCCTCGGTTGATTTGTATTTAGTTGCTTCTGCAGCTTGTAGCGCAGGGTCCTCACCTCATTCAAAAGAATGTCCCTCTCAGCACTTGTTTCCCGACAGTACTGGTTTTCACAGACCGTATGTGGGGAGAGGGCTGGAGGGTGTCCCAGAACGTCCTCATCTGTATCAAATACATCATCCACAGCGGTTCTCATTTCTATAGCAGGGATACTTTGCCGGAGAGCCTGTAGCTTATCCATTGCTACTTTTTTCTTGATCTTACGAAGGGCCACACGTACCTCCTCCGGGGATAGCTCTCTGTGATCTTTGATTAGATGGCGGTCAAGTCTGGTACCGTGATATTCGCATCCGACAATAATACAGGCATGGCACCTTATATTGATCCTTCCATTTGCAATTGATAGAATGATGCTCCTCTCCTTGGTGTTGTACACACGGTGCGTGTTTTTCAGGTGCTTACTCAGAGCTAGGTAGGGCTTCTTGCACAGCGGACACTTTGGAGGCATATCGTATTTAAATGTGTTCGAACACAGAGTGCATATGGGCTTTTCATTCACATTTTCACAAGACAGTTTTGGGTACGACAACGTGGGGATAACAGTACCTTCCGGGCGCTCCGTCCCGGGGGAAGAAAGCATTGAACCCATCGCACCTGCCCCCGGAGGAGGCAGAGGAATCGGGTACCCGGAGGGCGCACGGTGGACGGTCAGGGCGAGGCCGCCACACCGCGCTGGAGTCAGAGTTCCGAGTGTTCGAGCCGGGTCCCGGTGAAACGCAGGACGGAGCACCCGGCATGAGCCTCCAGCAGACCCCCCCGCGCGGTTCCCTCGTCCCTCGGAAGAGGCGGAGAGGTGGGTGTTTTTCATCTGCTGGCGGGTTGCCGGGGAGAACGCCCTGCTCGGGAGCCAGGCTCAGGGTGAGTGGCAGTGGGTACCCGCGCATTTGCCTTTTACAGCGAGAGCACAAGCTGGTCTCGGGGAGGGAGAAAAGAGAGGACCAAGGCCCTCCCCTCAAACACACCCCTCTATTTTGACAAGACAAACGGCAAGAAGAGTCCAATTTATACTCCCCTTGCATTCCTCCAGAGTCAGACAAAGTTAAAGTTAACTTTTGGAAAGAACTGTAGACAAGCGGTGAAAATGGATAAAATGTATCCGGAAATAGTGCCTCATAAGGCGGGTAGAGTCCCCTGACAACTCACCATACATTCCTCCAGAGTCAGAAAAAGTCAAAGTTAACTTTTTGGAGAACCGTAGAAAAGCGGTGAAATGGATAAAATGTATCCGAAAATAGTGCATCATAAGGCGGGTAGAGTCCCCTGACAACTCACACTACATTCCTCCAGAGTCAGAAAAAGTTCAAGTTAACTTTTGGAAGAACCGCAGAAAAGGGGTGAAAATGGATAAAATGAATCCGGAAATAGTGTCTCGTTATTCCGTGGTAACTCCCCTTGAATTCCTCCAGAGGAATCAATACTTAAAGTTTGGTAAGAACCATGATGGGGGTCATTCATGCAACAATTGTATCCGATCCAAAGTGCTCACGCATCGGACGCATTCCTCCATGATTTCCCCATCATCAGAAATAGCCCGTTTTTTTCTAAGTGCTCTCAAAAACCGGGTTTCCGATTTCGTGCAGAAGGTAGCTTGGAAAAGTTGAATGAAAATTGTTAACGGAGGAGGGGAGGTCTCAATTCCCCTCTCCGTTGAAAAGTGCAACGGGTCAGTGGAAATGTCTCCGGGGCTTCCGCCCGAAGCGCCAAAGGGTTGCCCCCCTCACCCGTTGGCACTTAGCCGTTTTTCGAGAATTTTTAAAAACGTAGTTTTCATCAATTTCATCCACATGTGAATCCCCCATCAAATGTACATGAAATGGACACGAGGAAATGTACATGAAATGGACACGAGGAAATGTACATGAAATGGACACGAGGAAATGTACATGAAATGGACAGGAACTTCATTTTATTGGCCGCTCACAGAGCCCCAAAACACGGACTACAGACCTCCAGCATATCTCCCTGACATAAGTACTTCCATAACCTCGAGCACCTTGGGACCCCGGGCCCCCGAACTTAAGCACTCCCCCACGGACTAAACCCAGATGATTACACCCTCAAGAAACTCGTGCCCCTGGTTATATATAAGGGGGTCTATTTTGCGGTGCTTTACAGTCCGCACATCGGACTCCATAGTCGGACTTATTCACAGCAGCAGCACCCACCCTCCTGTACCGGATGTTATCATGGCCCTGGTTATATATAAGGGGGTCTATTTTGCGGTGCTTTACAGTCCGCACATCGGACTCCATAGTCGGACTTATTCACAGCAGCAGCACCCACCCTCCTGTACCGGATGTTATCATGGCCCTGGTTATATATAAGGGGGTCTATTTTGCGGTGCTTTACAGTCCGCACATCGGACTCCATAGTCGGACTTATTCACAGCAGCAGCCCCCACCCTCCTGTACCGGATGTTATCATGGCCCTGGTTATATATAAGGGGGTCTATTTTGCGGTGCTTTACAGTCCGCACATCGGACTCCATAGTCGGACTTATTCACAGCAGCAGCACCCACCCTCCTGTACCGGATGTTATCATGGCCCTGGTTATATATAAGGGGGTCTATTTTGCGGTGCTTTACAGTCCGCACATCGGACTCCATAGTCGGACTTATTCACAGCAGCAGCACCCACCCTCCTGTACCGGATGTTATCATGGCCCTGGTTATATATAAGGGGGTCTATTTTGCGGTGCTTTACAGTCCGCACATCGGACTCCATAGTCGGACTTATTCACAGCAGCAGCACCCACCCTCCTGTACCGGATGTTATCATGGCCCTGGTTATATATAAGGGGGTCTATTTTGCGGTGCTTTACAGTCCGCACATCGGACTCCATAGTCGGACTTATTCACAGCAGCAGCACCCACCCTCCTGTACCGGATGTTATCATGGCCCTGGTTATATATAAGGGGGTCTATTTTGCGGTGCTTTACAGTCCGCACATCGGACTCCATAGTCGGACTTATTCACAGCAGCAGCACCCACCCTCCTGTACCGGATGTTATCATGGCCCTGGTTATATATAAGGGGGTCTATTTTGCGGTGCTTTACAGTCCGCACATCGGACTCCATAGTCGGACTTATTCACAGCAGCAGCACCCACCCTCCTGTACCGGATGTTATCATGGCCCTGGTTATATATAAGGGGGTCTATTTTGCGGTGCTTTACAGTCCGCACATCGGACTCCATAGTCGGACTTATTCACAGCAGCAGCACCCACCCTCCTGTACCGGATGTTATCATGGCCCTGGTTATATATAAGGGGGTCTATTTTGCGGTGCTTTACAGTCCGCACATCGGACTCCATAGTCGGACTTATTCACAGCAGCAGCACCCACCCTCCTGTACCGGATGTTATCATGGCCCTGGTTATATATAAGGGGGTCTATTTTGCGGTGCTTTACAGTCCGCACATCGGACTCCATAGTCGGACTTATTCACAGCAGCAGCACCCACCCTCCTGTACCGGATGTTATCATGGCCCTGGTTATATATAAGGGGGTCTATTTTGCGGTGCTTTACAGTCCGCACATCGGACTCCATAGTCGGACTTATTCACAGCAGCAGCACCCACCCTCCTGTACCGGATGTTACCATGGCCCTGGTTATATATAAGGGGGTCTATTTTGCGGTGCTTTACAGTCCGCACATCGGACTCCATAGTCGGACTTATTCACAGCAGCAGCACCCACCCTCCTGTACCGGATGTTATCATGGCCCTGGTTATATATAAGGGGGTCTATTTTGCGGTGCTTTACAGTCCGCACATCGGACTCCATAGTCGGACTTATTCACAGCACTCTGACCATAGTCGGCCTTATTCACAGCACTTTAACTAAACACATAAGGACATCCAAGTAAGACCTTACTTAGTGCCCCGGCAGAGGTGGGGAGGTTCCAGTACAGTTCCCCTGGTAATATATGTGGTTAAATGAAGCTCCGTAATGTTCTGGACAACATCACATGGGCATTAATGAGCTTCTTCAAACACATTTGGTGTATTTCCAAAAAGCAGTGAAAATACACCTACCAATCAAGTCCTGTAAAATAGCTGTCTGTGTTTATTTCCATCATTCATGCAAAATGGGACCCCTGAGGATTCGGCTCTGTAACGCTTCGGTTCGGAAAGGCATCAGAGTCGAGTTTTCGAGCCGGGTCTGGGTGGATAAAATCTATCCGGACACGCAGGGTTGCCCTCCAATGGTGGGTCAAATTCGCTGATACACAGCAGACCCGTGGTGGGAGGGGGCCATGAGAGTAGGTACCCCGGAGGGCGCACGGTGGGCGGCCAGGGCGAGGCCGCCACACCGCGCTGGAGTCCGAGTTCCGAGTTCCGAGTTTTCGAGCCGGGTCTGGGTGGATAAAATGTATCCGGACAGGCAGGGTTACCCCTCCCACGCAGCACACGCTCCCGGCCATCAGAGTCGAACCCACAGTTCGGAGGAACCAACCACCAGACCACAGACACTAGGCCGGGTCGGCAGAGGCCCTCCAATGGTGGGTCAAATTCGCTGATACACAGCAGACCCGTGGTGGGAGGGGGGCATGAGAGTAGGTACCCCGGAGGGCGCACGGTGGGCGGCCAGGGCGAGGCCGCCACACCGCGCTGGAGTCCGAGTTCCGAGTTCCGAGTTTTCGAGCCGGGTCTGGGTGGATAAAATGTATCCGGACAGGCAGGGTTACCCCTCCCACGCAGCACACGCTCCCGGCCATCAGAGTCGAACCCACAGTTCGGAGGAACCAACCACCAGACCACAGACACTAGGCCGGGTCGGCAGAGGCCATCCAATGGTGGGTCAAATTCGCTGATACACAGCAGACCCGTGGTGGGAGGGGGCATGAGAGTAGGTACCCCGGAGGGCGCACGGTGGGCGGCCAGGGCGAGGCCGCCACACCGCGCTGGAGTCCGAGTTCCGAGTTCCGAGTTTTCGAGCCGGGTCTGGGTGGGTGAAACGCAGGACGGAGCACCCGGCATGAGCCTCCAGCAGACCCCCCCGCGCGGTTCCCTCGGAAGAGGCGGAGAGGTGGGTGTTTTTCATCTGCTGGCGGGTTGCCGGGGAGAACGCCCTGCTCGGGAGCCAGGCTCAGAGAGAGTGGCGGTGGGGTGCCCGCGCATTTGCCTTTTACAGCGGGAGCACGAGCTCGCCTTGGGTAGGGAGAGAAGAGAGGAGCGGAGGCTGCCGAAACAGCCAGGGCCCTCCCCTCGAGTGTTGCTCTGTTTACGCAGGATCATATAGGTAAGCCTGTGATGAAGTAGGGTCGACCCTATATCATGTGAAGCCACCGAACGTTAGCCCCCTTGGGAACCGGTGCCCGGAGCAAGGCCAATTGCTGAATGCCGCAGCCGACGAAGGCCGCTATGCAACAGTGGAGGGTTCGAGAAACGACAGTGTTTGCCGGGCGCACCGCGGCTGGAACCTCCGTCCCGCCGCGGGACCCGTGGTGGGACCCCTGAGTCAGACGGTTCGTCTCGGTCACGCTTCATATCGGGCGGCCCGGGAGGGAAGAGACACGCAGGGTTACCCACACCCCACGCAGCACACCCTCCCGGCCATCAGAGTCGAACCCGCAGTTCGGAGGAACCGACCGCCAGAGCACCGGCACGAGGCCGGGCCGGCGGAGGCCCTCCGATGGCGGGTCGCGTTTGCCATTCGATCAGTGAGAAATCAGGAAAAAAGTCTGACTTAACTTTTGGGAGAACCGCAGAAAAGGGGTGAAAATGGTGAAAATGTGTCCGGGAATAGTGCCTCCTAAGGCGGGTAGAGTCCCCTGACAACTCACCCCACCTTCCTCCAGAGTCAGAAAAAGTGCAAGTTAACTTTTGGGAGAACCGCAGAAAAGGGGTGAAAATGGTGAAAATGTGTCCGGGAATAGTGCCTCCTAAGGCGGGTAGAGTCCCCTGACAACTCACCCCACCTTCCTCCAGAGTCAGAAAAAGTGCAAGTTAACTTTTGGAAGAACCGCAGAAAAGGGGTGAAAATGGTGAAAATGTGTCCGGGAATAGTGCCTCCTAAGGCGGGTAGAGTCCCCTGACAACTCACCCCACCTTCCTCCAGAGTCAGAAAAAGTGCAAGTTAACTTTTGGAAGAACCGCAGAAAAGGGGTGAAAATGGTGAAAATGTGTCCGAAAATAGTGCCTCCTAAGGCGGGTAGAGTCCCCTGACAACTCACCCCACCTTCCTCCAGAGTCAGAAAAAGTTCAAGTTAACTTTTGGAAGAACCGCAGAAAAGGGGTGAAAATGGTGAAAATGTGTCCGAAAATAGTGCCTCATAATGCAGGTAGAGTCCCCTGGCAACTCCCCTTGCATTCCTCCAGAGGCAAAATAAGTTAAAGTTAACTTTTGGAAGAACCATAAAAAGGGGTTAAAATGGTGAAAATGTGTCCGAAAATAGTGTCTCGTTATTCCGTCGAAACTCCCCTTGCATTCCTCCAGAGGCCAGTTCAAAAACTTAAAGTTTTGTAAGAACCGTGATTGGGGGTCCTCCAGGCAACAATTGTGTCCGAAAATAGTGTCTCGTTGTATCCGAT